CCATGGTCCATACACGTAATGCCCTCTGCCTTACGTGTACGACCAGAGAGGGGGATTTCCCTTAGAATTTTCCCAAAATCTCATGCGCGTAATGGCCTTGCCATACACGTATTGCCTTCTTCCCTTACGTGTATCATACGCACAACACCAGAGAGGCGTACCAGCCACGGGATAGGGCGCATAAAGTATGTGTAATGCCCTTGGGAAGTCCTCTCATACGTGTAAGTCCCCTCCTAATTTGGATCCAAAATAATGTTTTTACACATAATAACCTATAGACTTCATCTAATTTTGTTATACACTTGCCCTGTAACAATTTCCTACATTAAAACATCATTTTTCATCATCTCTATAAACTCATATTTTCATATTTGGAATTTTAGGGAATAAACCACAACCACAACATTAGTCCTTATCAAAATTCACATTAATAACATCACACCATTCACAATTTCATGATAATCATATAGATATAACAATAATCAAACAATGGAAAGGATATACATCAATTACACACAAAACCTAAAGAGAGAAATGAACCCCCACTACCCTCTCATGCTATAATGACCGTTTAGAGAACCTATTCTCCCCCTTCCCTTAGTTTGGAGCTTTGATTCCTCTAACAATGGTGGAATTCTCTCGCCCTAGCTATTCCTTCTCTTCTCTTCTTTGTTTCTACGTGACAACAATTTTTTCAATTGCTTCTACCACTCTCCTAATATAATGTTTTATTCTTAATAGCAAATAATAATAATAATAATAATAGAATAATTATAATAATAATAACTATAATAATAATAATAATAATAATAATAATAATAATAATAATAATAATAATATTATTATTATTATTATTATTATTAGTTGTAACTTTACCATATATCTAATAATAATTTTATTAATAATAATAGTATATCCCATCATTCATCAATATTATTATTATTATTATTATTATTATAAGATAGACTAAGTTTAATTCTAATTATTTAACTAAAACTAAGTTCTTTCATACCTTTAGCCATGCCTACATACCCTTAGTTTTTGTCTTTACAATTATGTCATTTAAATTCTTGCAATTTACTTTTATGCAATTTATTTTTAGCATTTATCATTCATGCCATTTTTTATGCATTTTATTTTTATTGTCTTTTTCTCTTTGTCCATTGAATATTTTATATTTCTTTTTAAAGAAATTAATAAATATCAAACTCTAAAGACTTAATGTGATCCTTGGACTATGGTTACTATCCTTGGCTTGGAATTGAACTTATGGACCTAGATTTAGGTTCTTTATCCTATGCTTTGGAGTTGAGACTTGAGACTTGAGACCCTAGAACTTTCATCCAAGACCTTAGAAATTTAATCTGATACTTTGGGTTTTATCTGTCTGTTTTTGTGTTTTTGTCTGATGCAAGGATTATTATCTGTGACTATGAGCTTTCATCTGATACATGAGAATTCATTTGTGCCTTGTGATTCATCTGATGCTTTGCTTTCATCTGAGATCTTGAGCTTTCATTTTATTCTTGGAATTTCATATGTGCTTTGAGATTTCGTCTAATGCCTTAGTTTTCATCTGATGCTTTTGATATTCATCGTTTACTTGCTTACTTGTGGCTAAATCCAAAGGAATGAGATGATTTTCTTAACTTATGTCAAATGCTTGCTTTATCCTGGTTAGTTCACATGCACACATAAAGGCTTTCTCTTCAAAACCTTCTTGCTTTCAAACATAAAACACCTTTCTCTATAAACCTTGACTTTGTCAAATTCTTTTCAAAATTATTTTCTTAATAAATGATTCAAAACGTCTTAAGCATATCAAACTCTTTTTAAAATAACTAAAAAACGTAAAACTCTTTCAAACCTTTTGCCACTTGGATTTTTATCTTAAAATCTTTTCTCAAAGATTAGATATCAATCTTGTTTTAAAAGTGATTGTAAACCATCCTACTTCTATAAACATGGCCAAGTGATATACATTTCCCACTGATATATTGAGATATGACTTGTTAATTTTAAATCTAAGCTGTAAATTCTCCATATTCAAGATGATAAAAATGCTCACTTTCCCATAGTTGTTGATAGTATGTTGTGTTTTCCACTCATATAAGACAATATATATTTTCATTAAAATCAACTAAACAATTTGTTCTTTTTTAGAAGAACTACGTGGTTCTGATTTCTCCATTGCACATTTGAGGTACATAGGCATAGAGCTCTTGAAGTTTTGCTGAATGAAAAATGTTAAAAAATAAATTATTTTCCTATCTCTTCAGTCATATTGCAAACAACCATTTTTAACCAAGCACATATTTTTAAGAGGTTCCCATAGAGTACCATTGATGTTTATGGTGTTAATACCTCCCCTTTGCATAACCAATCCTCGTACCATGTTCTCTTTGTGCTTTGATTATTGCTTTGCTTTTTGTCTTGCTATTTGCTTTGTATGCTTTTTGTAGGTTTTATTCGATCTTTTCTCATTCCTTTGGAAACAATAAGGTTCGGTGCTGACTCTTGCTTTTTGCTGAGATAAGTTAATCAATAATTTTTTCTCAAATTTTCCCGCCACAACAATGACCGAAGCCAAAGGATTGAGGAAGTGGAGGGTAAGTTGAAAAGGACTCAAGAGTCTATATGGAATAATATTTACTACAAAGAAAGTGTCCTGAAACAAAAGTCAAGACAAAGGTGGTTATTAGAAGGGGGTTTGAATACTAGATTCTTCCACTCAATGTTGAAGTGTGCGTATATGAGGAATAATATAGTGTCAATTCACACTGACCTACGTGTGGTGGAGGGAGTTGGTGTTGTGAAAGAGACTATTAAGAATTATTTTTCATCAAGGTTCCATAATCCTACTGTTGTAATACCAAGGCTCGAGAGGGTAAAGTTTAGTAAATTATCTCTAGAGGAATGTGGCAGTTTGGAGGAGGGTTTTTCAAGAGAAGAAATTGAAGAAGTGATTTTTGAAAGTGGTGGAGATAGGAGTCCCAAATTAGATAGTTTCAACCTAAATTTCTTAAAAATAGGTTGGGAGCTTATAGGAGGTGATATAATAAACTTTATACAAGAATTCCATAAATCATCAAAACTACCCAAAGCCATGACAACATCATTCTTGGCCCTTGTTCATTAAAGTGAAAACCAATAAGGCTTGGATGATTACAAACCTATTTGCCTAGTAGGCTTATATGTATAAGTTGATCTCGAAGCTGCTTGCTTCTAGAATAAGAAAGGTGATGGATAAACTTATTTCAAGTAATCAATCTGCCTTCATCCCTGGAAGGCGGATACTGGATGGTGTTTTCGCAACTAATGAAATCATAGACTTTAACAAAAGAATGAAAAAGGATTGTTTGTTGTTTAAAGTGGATTTTTCACAGGTATATGACCACGTGGATTGAAAATTCCTCAGGTTTATGCTGAGGAAGATGAGATTTGGTCAAAGGTGGATGCATTGGATGAAGGCTACCATTTTTAGTAGAAACATGTTTGTGTTGGTCAATGAGAGTCCAACGGAGGAATTCATAGTAACTCGAGGGTTAAGGCATGAAGATCCATTGTTTCCATTCTTGTTCACAATTGTTGCAGAAGGTCTTGCAGGACTGGTTAAGAAGGCTGTAAGTGTGAGCATGTTTAAAGATTTTAAGTTGAATGATAATGTTTCATATAATCTACTACAATTTGCTAATGATACCATTTTTGTTGGAGAAATCTCTTAGAATAATGTGTGGGCTATGAAGGCTATTCTTAGAGCTTTTGAAATGTCATTTGGTTTGAGAATCAATATGTGGAAGAGTAAGTTATATAGGATTGTGTCAGTGATATATTTTTAGTAGGGTCATCCTCTTTTATATCTTGCAGATTAAATAAGATTCCATTCAAGTTCTCAGGCTTAACAGTCGAAGGAAACCATAGAAGCATACATTTCTGGAATCCTATTTTGAAGATTCTGAAGACAAAATTATGTTCTTGAAAAAGAAGATTATTGTCCATGGGAGGAAGAATTACATTCATCAACTCTATCCTGTCAAATATGCCAATGTACCATTTGACATTTTTTAAAGTTCATTGGAAGTTTTGAAGGAGATCATAAGATTTCAAAGGTACTTTTTATGGCTTGGGACTATGGATAAAAGAGGCATAACATGGATAAGTTGGGACTCAATTTGTAGACCAAAGAAGGAGGGTGGCTTGGGCATTAAGGAAATCGAGAGATTTAATAATGCTCTAATTAACAAATGAATTTGTAGGTTTGTCAATGAAGATAACGTGATTCAGGCAGGGATTATCCAGGCAAGATATGGTTGTATAACTATGAGGCTTTGGTCCATTGAGGAGAATAAAGTAAAAAATATCAAATTCATTATGGTTGAGAGATATTCTGATGGTTGCAGGATCCTTTGAAACGCTTGATAAGATGAAATAGTTGATATTTAGGATTGATTGTGGTGACATGATTCATTTTTCGACTGCAAAGTGGTTAAGCCATGTCCCGTTAACACACCAATTCCCTAGTCTGTTCCAAATATAAATTAAAGTACCTATCTTACTAATAGTCTAATATAGTTAAAGATTATCTAAAAAATGGGGTGTCAGCACTAATTTGAATTTTAAACGTAAAAATTGATGGGTGATTGGACATTCACACACAGAAACGGACGAAAATGAAAGGAAAAAAACTACCAGACAGAGAGAAGATTGGAACTTATCCACAATGCCACCTAACGTTATAATTTTCTTCTTTTTTATTTTATTTTTCTAACTAGAAGAATAAAGAAAAACTTCACCGGAAACCCTTTATAAAAGCAAGACAAAGCCGTGTCTTTGTGGAACCACCGTTAACACAAACGCAAGAGAAACAAGAAGAGAAAAAACCATTGAGAACATATTCGTCTAAACTCACATATATTATACATTAGAGTAGAATAAGAGAAAGTGAGAAACTTCCACTCACAATAAGCATTGAATTCTAAATTCTAAATTCCGAAACCAGCATGGCAAACAGTTACTTTGCAAAAAGAAACCACCTCTTTCTTTCGGTTTCAAGTGACAGAGACTCTTCTCTATCATTAACAACGGATTCAGATTCCATGTTTGAATTCCAAGAATCAGACATTTACAATTCCGACCATGCTTACTCGGCGGAGTTTTGCAAATCTCTCCATGGCTCTCGCTCGGTAAAGAAACCGTCTTCATCGAAGACAAAGGACGCCGGAGGAACTGCAGCGTCCGTGCCAGTAAACATCCCCGATTGGTCGAAGATCCTCGGGGACGAGTACACGAAGAGAATTAAGATGGAAATGGAGGGAGAGGATGAAGACGAGAGTGGGTGGTTACCACCGCATGAGTTTTTGGCGAGGAAGAGAGTGGCTTCTTTGTCAGTACAGGAGGGTTTTGGAAGGACTCTTAAGGGAAGAGATCTTAGTAGGCTCAGAAATGCTATTTGGGCAAAAACTGGGTTCCAATAATTTAACTGTCTTTTGTTCTACTGTATTACATGTGTTTTTTGTTTTGTTTTGATTTTGGTAAGTGTAACTTCGCATGAGATATATGTGTTGTGATTTTGGTGAAAGATATATCTTCTCTCTAGGTTTAGTAGAGTAAAATACACGTGTGTTATAAGGTTTCAGTTATTAATTCGAAACCTGGTGTTTGTAATGTCCTCGAGAATTTCTTCAACATTATTAATGTCAGTATTTGTTTTGGAAGAAATGATTAGATCATAACAAATTAACAATGACCAGGCAATGCTCTCTTATTGTGTTTTTAATTAATAATTTACACGGCAAGTGGAGCAGGAGGTTAGAGGAGGGAATGGAGTGGATGAGGCCATTATAGGAGAAGAGATGGAAACTTGGCTCACTTGCTCAATGATTGGTGCGTGTAATTTGGAGTTTGATAGTTCAGTTTTGGGAGTAGTACAATGGCCAGTGGCCACATGCTGGTCATTCTCTACCACAAACACCCTTTAAAATATCTTAATCATCGTCCAATCAGATGATAATACTTAGACATTACTTGGACATGTTGATAGACTTACCAACCAATTTGTATGTTGGGTTTAGGTCAAATTACTTGGGTTAAAAAACTCATGCATTGTTAATAATTGAAAACTATTTTATTGAGTGTAAGTATATCTCAAATGTGTAAGTCTAATAGAATAATCAAAATAAACAAATTACAAATAAGTAATAAATTAAATTGCACTGATTAAATTTAAATAGAATATTAAGATAAAAATGATATCGACCGTAATTTGAGTCTCTTCTTTTTTTACATTTGGTAAACTGGAGATATTGATTTGATTGGGCTGATTGATTTAATTTGAGAAGATTATTTGAATGAATGAGAAATTTGATTTCAAATTTATTGATCAATATACAATAAATGATACAACACTTCTTCGAGATCTTTGAACATCAACTCTAAAGCTCTCCTGCATTAAACACTTAATGCACGCATAAATACGACGATAATATTTCAGAACATTCTACCCATTTGACAAATATCAAAAAGAAAAAGGCAAAAATAGATAACACATATAGATGAACTCATAGAAAAATGAAAAACTAATCGAAATGCCACACAAAAGCAAACTACTTTAAAACTAGAAAATCACATACAAGCACGTACATAGAAGTAACACAATTTTAGACAATACGCGAGATATGAAAAGATTTGCAGGCTAAAAATAATAAAGAACTGAAGATCAACATCAAAATGGCCAAAAACAGGTCATACAAATATAATCCACCAATATGGACTTAACAACCAAAATATCCAAAAAGTAGTATAGATATCTATATTCAACAATAAAAATAAATAAGAGTCGTGATATGATGCAATAATGGAAATGATATGCATGATAAACTATGGTACTTATGAAGGACTTGGATTAGGAGGAGCAGAGAGATCTCCAAAATCAAAAGAAAAACTCGAACTCTTGAGAGTGACGAGAGTTTCTTTGACACCGGCGAAATGAGTCATCATCTGGTCTTCCCTTGCTCTAGCTTTAGCAACATCCACATCAAGGTAAGCCATCAGGAGATCTTCTCTCACTTGATAAATAGTCACAATCCTATCGAATCAGACGTCCATATACGCCTTCACAGCAAGAGGTAGGATGTATGAACCAGTAGGAGGTGGAGCAGAACTGGATGCAGCCTTCTATGGAACATAAACTTTTGGAGTCTTGTCATATGGAACAAGCATGTCTTCATAAATTATTGCAAACTCATCCTGATAATAATATACACCTTCGTTGTCTCAAGCATATGAGTGCAATATCCTCTCTTAGATGTTTTGAATGATGTCAAAACTAGGAAATATGTAGTATTTGTATATTGGACGGTATCTTTCTATGTAGGTTGAATTCTCATACTAGGACACTTAGAGATCGATTCAGAGGCTTTTCGACATGTTAAAAACTTCAAAAATATACCCTTTTATGAAAAATCATGTTTGGAGTCGACTCACTCGTGTTAGGAGTCGACTCCCATAGAAAGAAATTTGAAAAGAGACTTTCTGATCCAAAGGAGCCGAGTCCCAGGGTCTGATATGATGCAATAATGGAAATGATATGCATGATAAACTATGGTAGGTCTGAGGGACTTGGATCAAGAGGAGAAGAGAGATCTCCAAAATCAAAAGAAAAACTCGAACTCTTGAGAGCGACGAGAGTTTCTTTGACACCAGTGAAATGAGTCATCATTTGGTCTTCCCTTGCTCTAGCTTTAGCAACATCCACATCAAGGCAAGCCATCAGGAGATCTTCTCTCACTTGATAAATAGTCACAATTCTATCGAATCAGACGTCCATATACGCCTTCACAGCAAGAGGTAGGATGTCTGAACCAGTAGGAGGTGGAGCAGAACTGGATGCATCCTTCTAGGGAACATAACCTTTTGGAGTCTTGTCATATGGCACAAACATGTCTTCATAAATTATTGCAAACTCATCCTGATAATAATATATACCTTCGTTGTCTCAAGCATGTGAGTGTAATATCCTCTCTTAGATGTTTTGAATGATGTCCAAACTAGGAAATATGTAGTATTTGTATATTGGACGGTATCTTTCTATGTAGGTTGAATTCTCATACTAGGACACTTAGGGATCGATTCAAAGGCTTTTGGACATGTTAAAAACTTCAAAAATATGCCCTTTTATGAAAAATCATGTTTGGAGTCGACTCACTCGTGTTAGGAGTTGACTCCCATAGAAAGAAATTTGAAAAGAAACTTTTTGATCCAAAGGAGCCGAGTCCCAGGGTCTGATATGATGCAATGATGGAAATGATATGCATGATAAACTACGGTAGGTCTGAGGGACTTGGACCAGGAGGAGCAGAGAGATCTCCAAAATCAAAAGAAAAACTCGAACTCTTGAGAGCGACGAGAGTTTCTTTGACACCAGGAAATGAGTCATCATCTGGTTTTTCCCTTGCTCTAGCTTTAGCAACATCCATATCAAGGCAAGCCATCAGGAGATCTTCTCTCACTTGATAAATAGTCACAATTCTATCGAATCAGACGTCCATATACGCCTTCACAGCAAGAGGTAGGATGTCTGAACCAGTAGGAGGTGGAGCAGAACTGAATGCAGCCTTCTATGGAACATAACCTTCTGGAATCTTGTCATATGTCACAAAAATGTCTTCATAAATTATTGCAAACTCATCCTGATAATAATATACACCTTCGTTGTCTCAAGCATGTGAGTATATAATATCCTCTATTAGATGTTTTGATTGATGTCAAAACTAGGAAATATGTAGTATTTGTATATTGGACGATATCTTTTATGTAGGTTGCATTCTCATACTAGGACACTTAGGGCTCAATTCAAAGGCTTTTGGACATGTTAAAAACTTCAAAAACATACCTTTTTTTAATGAAAAATCGTGTTTGGAGTCGACTCACTCGTGTTAGGAGTCAACTCCCACAGAAAAAAAAATTTGAAAAGAAACTTTATGATCCAAAGGAGTCGACTTTCACGTGTTAGGTATCGACTCCTATTGAAAGTATTTTTGAAAATTAATTCTTTGGTCCAGATGGGCCGACTCCCTTGCATTTGGGGTCAATACATTACACAAAGGATTCCATTCCCACGTGTGTGTATCAACTCATACTTAAGCATTTTTTCAAAAATTATTCTATGTCCTAAAGGAGCCGACTCCCAGGATTTATAGGGAAAATCCCTTTCCCTTTAGAGTCTACTCCCTCTTTGTATGGGTTGACTCCCACTGATCCATATGTCAAAATTTTGTAACTTTGCAACCTTTTTTTTTTTGTTTTCTCATGTACGTTCTCATATATATATATATATATATATATATATATATAATATATATATATATATATATATATATATATATATATAATATATATATATATATATATATATATATATATATATATATATATATATATATATATATATATATATATATATATATATATATATATATATATATATATATATATATATATATATATATATATATATATATATATATATATATATATATATATATATATATATATATATATATATACACTCATTCATGCATTATTCAAGAAATGAAATCACAAATATACATCCACAACAAATTACACATAATCATTCATTGTTGGGTGTCATTTAGAGATAGCGTGATAACATCAAGTTAGGATTCGTTATAATTGATTGGGATGAGAATTCTTTGGGGGTTTCAAATAAGAAAACCAAGTTGGGGTTTTCCTTCAAGATCATTGGTGATTTGAAGGTTTTGGACAAGAATACATAATTTGGAATCAACCAAGTGAAAGTTTCAAAGAACAATGGGTTCAGTCAAAGAAATAACAGTAATCGGAGGATCACTTTGGTAAATCTTGGGTCACGATACGTTTTCAATTTGGATTCATCCGAGTGAATTCTTTGAAGAAAAGG